AATCTACCTTTAAGACAGCTATACTTTCAGTGGATTCACTGAAGAGCCTCAAGATCTGGAGATAAACAAAACTTTTATTGAAAACAAAATCATAATGAAATGCTAGTCCTAATTCAGCTACACTCTAAGATTTAAACAAGATGAAAGAGGGAAGAAGCTGAAGAAATCCAGTTATCGTTGAAATTGTTTCAAATTCTAACAGGAAATTGAGGAACCACAAACAATTTCAATTATTGCTAACTAGATTTTGTTAAATAAAATCTTAACATAGAATATCCCTCATTCTATTTAAATATAATGATTCCTTCATAACTTTTCATAAAATACAAGAACTCCCCGCTAAGATTGTTTCTTTGTTTCTCATATTTCAATATTGCATTGCAGATCACATAACAAAAAGCATCTTAAGATTGTAATGAAAACTATACAAAATAAATAAAAAAATTATAATAAATGGTCAGAAACAAAACTATAGACGTTATAATTAAAAAAAAAAGTGAAAATGAGAAATGGAATAAAAATCAATAAAGTATAACCACAAATGCTTGAAATGAAGCCAAGTACAAAAAATGTTACTTGAGAAAATATTTTTTTTTTTTGTTGTTGTCTTATAACTAAAACATTTATCAGAAAGAGAGATATCTTGTACAAAGCAGCAGCAGCAGCGATGACAACGATCTAAACTTGACAACATAATAAATGGGGGGGAAAACTGTAATCTGAAGGTGGATCTATACATGAATACACGTAATCAAACACCCAGTACTTTCAATGTAAAATGTTAAGAGTCATATAAAACCATTAATGTAGCTTCATGTCACGAGTTCGATCCTCACCACCCCCATTTAATTAATAATTAATTCAGTATTGTGGAGTTTCTTAGCACAGGTATGTGGGCCTGTGCATTGTCCACCCTTCAAGCCCAATGGACTCTCATGTGAGGGGCGTGTTAGAGTTATATAAAACTATTAATGTAGCCTCATCCACCAGCTTAAGCTTTTGGGTTGAATTGGTTTTTTACATAAAATGACACAGTTGTCCCTGGGCAATTTATAATCAATAAAATAATCATAGAGAATGAAATTTTAAGAAACCTGGGAATAGTTTTGGATAGCTCTGTTGAAACCACTGTGATAAGTTTGTACAACTTCATCCACGACCTCCTCAATAACATCACTTTGCTCCTTCAAAAATTGGGCAGCAGTTTCACGATCCTTTGATGTCAAAATGTGGACAACATGAGGTAATGAATCAAAACGAGGAGCAGCCCAACTCTCATCTACTCTAGAGAGTTCTTCTCTCAAATACTGCATTCAAATGGAGCACACTCAAATTGTCATGAATGAATATACAGTGTAATGCGAGACTAAGTGCAGTAGAAATACCATATCAATAAAAGTTTCAGAACAAATAATTTGGACTTCTAATTTATAAATTTGCAGTAAAGAATAAATAACAATAAACCATTCATAGAGTGCGTAAAATAAGACACATGGTCAATATAAATATATATATATATACACTACAGATAATAGTTAGACCATTTACAATATAATGATTCCACATTCAAGTTATAAATTGATTTATCCTTTATCCAGTATTTAGGGTATAATACTCAAATTGTATCATTGTGATAGGAAACTGATATAATAGAGATAACGAACAAGGGAAAATACTGCAATTAATAAAACTGGTTTATACAATACTCTAACCTTAAGTTACAAAATTAGAAAAGATGACTATTACAGAAAGGAAAATATTACAATAGGATTCCCCCAAATGTTACTACTACCCAGGACAGTTGGAGAGGCCCTGGTTCTCACCTGAATTCAATACCAAATGGTCCCAATATTTCCAAGATGCTTTTACACACTTCACATTCCCCATCCTATACTCAGCCTAACCCCCTAGAATATTCTAAAGTTAGTTATGCCACCACATTGGTAAAACATAATCCCCTACTACCAACTTTACATACACCTACATGAGTATATATATTCCCATCACATTGTTTCGGACAAAATTATCAGTGTGACTGTACATGAAATTAAATCTTAGAATGGAGAATGATTGACTTGAAAAAAGGGTAAAATTACTTGAGTGAGTCTACACTCAGCAGACTGTTTTCATATATATATATATATATATGAAGGCAGTAAGTATAACGGGAATTTACAAAAACAAAAACAAAATAATATAAAAATCAATCCCAGTTTCCACCATTTTCTATTGTTGCACTAACTATTGGAACAAGTTCTAACAAAATGTTAATTTTAACACTCCACCTCAAGCTTGTGTATATATATCATAAGCACCCAACTTGTACGCATATATGTTATCCTTGGAGCTCAGAGAGATTTAGTGAGATCAGTCAGTTGATCATTGGAGTTCACAAAGGAAGTAGTGATTTCTCCCGGGACAATCTTTTCAGGAATAAAATAAAAATCAATATCTACATGTTTGATTCGTTCATGAAAAACTCGATTAAAAGGAATGTGGAATGTTGTTTCATTGTCATAAATTAGAGTCCTAGGCCCTATCTCACAAGCTTAAATTCTTGAATAATTTGTTTTAACCATATGAGTTCACACTTAGTGAGAGCCATAGCTCAATACCCTGCTTGGATCTAGCAAGTACATTATGTGGTTTGCTTTTCCATGAAATAAGATTCCTTCAATAAGAACACAATACCCAGAGGTTGATCTTTTATCACTAGGAGATCCAGCGCAGTCAACATCTGAATAAGCAACAATATATGCAAGGCCCCAATTAGCATATACCCTTTTCCAAAGATTATGAACCATTGCATCCCAATGAACACCAGTGAGCGTTAAGGAAATGACAACACTAATGGAAAAGGGTATATCCAATCTAGTCATAGTGTGATTAATCTTACTCCTATGTAAATTTTTCGTGATGAAATACAATACTTCATAACAGAAAATTTCTAGTACAGCAAGTAATAAATGTGATATTGCAGGACTTGAAGGATTATGATGGAACCCAAATTTATAACACTGATTTTATTGCATCAATGGAGGCAGAGCCTCTTTTTACAAACACTAATTGCAGAACAAGACACTAAAAGACCCCAACTCACCCTTAGAACCGACACACCTAGGCTCTAAGAGATCCCCAATATTCACTCAATACATGCATACCTCACTCCACACATTCCCCCACCTTTTATCCCCTTCTCTAAGAATATTTTAGAGGAATCCCCTAACTAACTAACTAACTCCCCCTTTTCCAGGCCCATCAGATTATAACACCAGATGATTCACAAGACTTAAAGCCAACTAGATAAAGAAAACGAAAATGCAGGCCAAAGAGTAAGGATAGAATATTATGATAGGCTACAATGCATGAATATGGGTACTTCCAATTTATCCAAAACAATATGGCACGTGAATACGGCAATGAGACCATTTATTAAGGTTACCCAATCTCTCAATAAAAAACACGTTGGTCGGAAATACCTTTTGAAGAAAAGGAAATTCAAAAGGCTGTTTGCAGCGTAGAATGGGAAAAAGTGACAGGCAGGGCCTGATGGTTTTACTGCTCCCATGTTTTGAAACTGTTGACACTTCGAAAATTATTTAAAAGGAAAAAAATCTGATGATGCCATTGCGTTTTGACAAAAATAAAGATGAAATAGACTGAAAATACAACCTTGGACAAAAAAATCTTTTCCACCTTTGCATTGTAAGAACCATATCATAGAACATAAAGTTATTTTAATCAGGTTAGGGTACCACACAAACAAGTGAAACTTTTCCACAAGTTGTACTCATATTCCAGTCATCTATGAGCACTATTAGAGCAGTAAGCTCAAAATATCTTAAAATTGAACCAGTTGCAGAGAATCCTTCAGCCAAGAAGATCACTAATCTCATCATGAATTGAATACTAATATCAAAAGGAACAAAGCAAAGCTTACAGCTTTTTCGGAAGGCAAAGGTAACTCATCAAAAACTCCCATATTGAGCCTTCAAAGTCTCCCCACAGCATGAAGATATAGATTAACTCATACTAGCAAACCCACAATTCTAACTGCAATCCATAAGTACAAGTTAAAAACATAAATAAAATTCTCAAATTCATTTAATACAAATCATGTACGATCTTAAAATAAAAAAATAAAAAAATTGCACCTAAATGAATGAAAATAACTCTCTAGATTTTAACTGGAAATGAATCACTAGAATTCTTATGCAAAATTACAAGGTATTAATATATAACGTAAGACTTCAATAAAACATAGTTTAAAACAAAATTGGAATAACAAAAACAGAAAAGATCAAATGAAGATAAAAGAATTGTCAGAAACTTCTCCTACAAAAGACTATCCTGAACCAAAATAAAAGGTTTTAAAATCCAAACAAAAGATATTGTTTCAACAAATATAATAACATTCCACTCAATTCATAAAGTTGAGACTTGATACTGAAACCTAAAAAATATTTAAAACACATAGCACTATTGTTCCACCAACCAGCAGGATAATGCATAAGAATAAAAAGCAAATAAAAGAAGAATATTACCAATTTATAATTGTTCTGAAATATAACAGATTCAACAGCCCAATCTAGTTCCACCAAAACGAATTGATTGAAAAGTGCACCACCCCCCCCCCCAAAAAAAAAAAAAAAACCTGAAAAACAGTTCAAAAGACAACAGCTAAGTCTAAGAGGTCAAACAAAATGGCCTTAAACTTCTTGCTAATACTTATCCTTAACAATTTCCGGGCACCAAACCAAAGAGTGAACATTAAAAGAAAAATACCTCTTAAGTCCAGCTCCAGAAGCACCCAAGAGGAATCAGTGTTATTACTTGAACTTCAAATAACCTGACATTCACGAATTCACAGCATAACAAACAAACAGCAGTAAATGAACTTAAATTCAATACAAGTAAAGTAGCATTCAATTTTTTAGCACTTAACCATAGTATTAAGTATTTTAAAATGCCTATGTCAAAAAATAAATGCACAACATAATCACAACTCTCTCAGTCATTTCGCAACAAAATAAAAATTTTAGCAATAAACTAATCGTAAGTAACCATAATTATTTCCAGTGCAGTTTCTGACGATTATCAAGATTCAATCAGCAGAAAGCACAAGAACTGATTGATAATCACACATTTGCTTTTCGATAAAAATTAATAGAGCGTAATATCAAAAGGACCTAGTAATCAACGTATGATCAGGCATTGTTTCTGTTCATTGTTATGACGACATCAACTAAAAAAACAAAAAAACTAGATTCAACTACCACATACAGAAGTAGATCCCTGATTTCCGTCCTCACGCATACTTCACTTGAGCTCTTTAGTAATTCACTCACACGGAACAAACTACAAGGTCCTATAATACAAAAGCATTTGACAATTCAACGCTTAAAACTCAGGAACGAAGTAATAGTATTCTGAAATATGCATGTAGGTTCGAAGATCTTAAGAGTTAGGGTTCGAATCGAGATTCCGTGTGTGCTCGCTAAATCGAAGGTTTTGCAAATCGAACCTGTAGCCGTGGGAGGAATGAATCAACGAACGAAAGCGAAGAATTCAGAGTGACAACGACGCGGATGGGAGAGAGCGCGTGACGAAAAGGAAAGAGAAGAGAGATTCAGGAATAACAATCATATCTTTCACGCTTTTTTAATATTTTTTATTATTGTATCGAATTTTGTCTTAAATTAAATATAAAAAATGTTCGCATTTTTTTTTTCATTTAAATCATAGATCATAATCAAGTACTTTTAATTATTTGCTAATAAAATGCATAAAAATTATTTATAAACCTAAGTGTTCGATTTTTATATAAAAATAAAAAATAAGTAAATGCATTCATACGTAATTTTGAAAATAAAATGATAATTGATATTTTGTCATATCAAGTGGAAAAGTATTCTTAGAAAGGAAAAGTCTTGTATCCCAAAAAAAGAAAAGAAAGGAAAAGTCTTAACATGTAAATTTATACGTAGTCTCATGTTTAAAAAATATAACAAATATTAAAATTGAAAAAAGTACAATTTCAGAAAGACAAATTACGCGTGTTTACAATTTGATAAAATTACATTAATGTTCAACTTAATTTTCAGAAATTACAATTAGGGGTGTAAATGGGTTGGGTTTGGCCATTCTGGTCCAAGCCTACGTCAAAAAAATTCAGCCTATCTGGCCTATTAAAGGCTTTATTTGTAGGCCAAGTCCGGCCCATTTTCAAAAATAAGAAAGCCTGACATGGCCTACAGGCCTTGTAGGCCTCCCACTATATATACTAAGCAAAAAAAAATAATTGTATAGAGCAAAGAAAGTTCCATTCATGCATGCACTAGTACTTCTCATAAGAAAAAAATGACAAACAAGAAAGAGTCAACATAATACCTCAGCTCTAGAATGTATATCATAGAGGAATAGAGTCAAAGAAATGAGAAAGATAAGAAAAATACAATTACTGGATGCTGAAATAAAGTCTACAAAAGAATGTCATTCATCTAAAAATCTTTAAACCACCATCAAGACAAGGGAAAGAAGAGTATTATTGAAAGATCTTCGTTAGTAACATCATAATCCAGCAAGGTGCCCATTGTTCCATGGTATTAAGCTGCAATAGCATGTAAAATTTGGAGACATTAGACAAGTTTTCTTTTCATAAAATAAAATAGCACAAAAAGTAAAAGATATTGATATTTGGTACTTTGTGTCTTTGCCACATAAAATAAATATTATTTTATTATTTTATTTTTAATAAATTAAATAGGCCAGCCTACAAGTCTGTAGGCCGGGCTTGACAAAATTGGCCTATGGCCTATTTATTAAAAAAGCTTGTTTATAAGCCTAAGCCTACTCTACTTTTCTGAAAGGTCGGGCCTGGGCTGGGCTCAGTGTAGGCCGAGCCGTAGGCTGGGCTGGGCCAGCCTGACCCATTTACACCCCTAACTACAATGACCGCTCTTATTTTAAATTTTATTTAAGAGTAAAATATGTGTCATTTTAAAGAATGTAAAATTGTGAACTTGTGTCATTTTGAGTGAGAAAAAGAGATAAATCATGAGAGAGTGGACAAAAAAAAATAAAAGTATGGGTCTCATTTCTTTGTGAGAGTAAAATAACATAGGTTGTGTCATTTAAAAGGACAAATATTTTACTCTTTATTTAAATAAATGCTACAATCGACATATATAAGAAATAATTTTTTAATCAAAGGTAAAAAAAAAAGAGATGGGAGAAAATGGATTTTATGAGTATAATGTTACCTGACGTAAGAAAAATTTCCTACACACTTAACTAAGAGCCTAGGTCCACAATTTTTTTTTTCTTTAATTATTTTACTTTTTCTCTCCTCTTTATTATGAGTATGGGAGAATTTTCTTATATCATGCAACATTATACTCAGGAGAAAATTGTAAACTTATCAAATATAATAAGAAGTTAACATATTCAATCCATCAACATCCACATCAACTATATCTTTACCTCAAATTAATTGGAGTTGGTGATAGATGAATTCAAATAAAATATACAAGTTAACATATTCAAGAATTAAAAAAAAAGTACTATTATTACAACAACAAAAAAAAAAAAGTACTACTAGTGCATTCCTTGCGAATCTAATCTTTAACAAATTCTCGCTTCACTATTTATATCTCTTTTTTTTTTGGTTTTCCAAAGTATCCTACAGCCGACAGCTGAAGACTAATTCTTTCGAGGTGGGAGATCACAATTAAGTAGCTCTCCCAACAAAGCTTTTTCCATACGCACGGTCAGGGATTGAACCACTGTCAGCATGCTTAAGGAACTCAGCTATCTACCAACTGTACTGGGCTTTGTTGATCTCTATTTCTATCTTACTCGATGGAATGAATTTGTTTTCCCAATATAAATAAATCTTCTCATTGTGACCCAATCAATATTTATTTATATATATATATATATATATATATATATATATATTTATCTTTGTTCAAATACCCCTGTTGTTTGCATTTGAATCCCTTAGCCTCGGTGTTTTTTATTTTTTTATCATTTATCTTCCTATGCTTTTTTCTATCCAAGTCCTTTACTATCAGAGTTAAAATTCTTAATCAATATGTCTATTTTATCCTTTTTGCAAAAAATTATAAAATATCATTCAAGTGACTTTGGCCAAAATTATAGATTTATAAAAAGATAAAATAAGAATATATCAAATGCCAAAGGCATCAAATAGGATTAGTGGATATTGCAATGAGAAGAAAATAATAAGAATAATACACTATGAAACTCAGATTATATAATCCTATAATGGTAGGAGAGCATAGGTTTCTGGATGTCATAGAACAAAAAGTGAGAACAGAATCTATCACAATACAAAGAGCTCTTGTTGTCTTTTAATATCTTACAAAGAATTGTATATTTCGATCCAGTGACAATATTAAGTGTTTTTTATTTTTTATTTTTTAAATTAGATTAGAAACTAAATTGTTTTTTGTTCTGCGTGGCCATTGTCTCTGCGTTGGCTGTGCAGAAATAGATTAATTATTTTCTAAAAAAAAAATTGTATTAGTAATTATTATAAAATGATACTTGATGCCTTTGCAATTTGATATTTGACTCTTTTTTGTAAATATCTAATTTTGGCTTATTTCAAGATAAAAATGTGGTATAAATTCATCAAGTAAATATACAGTTTTGGCCTTTGGCATTTGGCTATTTTTTTGTAAATTTTATCTCATTGCAATTGTTTTTAAATGATAGAAGATTTATTGTTGCACATAGGGGTGAAACTAGCCCCGGTCGGCTTATAAGGGCCTATGACTCGATCTACGTCAGGTCAGATCTGACCTAGTATAATTTCGTAAAATAGGCCGGCTTGGGCCTTGAAAAAACTTGTTTAATAAATAGACTATAGGCCCACTTTCACAAGGCCTGGCTTATAAGCCTACAGGCCGGCCTATATTGTACTATTTACTTTAAATAAAATAAAATAGAATAAGTTTGCCTTGAAGAAAAAATAAAAGATATAAATTTAATCAATTGCAATTATTTATAACTTAATTATATTCGATTATATTTTGATATAAATCTGATTTTATTTCTTATGTAGGAGGAACCAACATCTCAGTATGTTAGATTGTGTGTATGAATATATTAAAAGATTTTTGGGAGAAGTTATACTTACTACAAGCATCATGATGTGTTTGTTGGATTCGTGTAGTTATTTTAATTTACATAGTATGGATTTGCTTGTTGGATCTCATGAAATATATGTTATTTAGTTTGAGCATTTTGCTTTTAAAAGTGATTTAAATACAAATTGTGATGAGTTTTATTATGATTTATGATTCTGTTTGGACGTTGAAATTGTGATTTTTGGTTTAGTAACAGGATTTGAGTATTTTGTGAAGTTGATTCATGGTTTGCTTGGAAGTTAAAAATTAATAGGCTAAACTAGACCATTTGTTTTTTTATAAACGGGTCAAGTCAGGCTAACAGTTAGACTCGTACTAGGCTTGAGTCAGGCCAAATTGAATTTTTTTGACATAGGTTTGGGCTTTTCGAAGCACAACTCAGCCCACTTTCACTCCTAGATCACTTTGCACACATCTTTTGCTTGATGTTTCTATTACTAGACACGTGGAACAACCCTTTTCTTATCTCAATTTGTGGGTTATGAGTGTGACAATAGATATGTATATAAAGCATGAGCATCTATATTCATTTGGGTTAGCATAACTCAAACACAACACACATATTCAATCTAAGATTATGAACGAAAACAGTTTTGGAAATGTATATGTATCTACTACTTATAGAAAATAAATTTCATCAGAGAGGAGATAAGAAATAAAACTTGTTACCTTATTACAATAACTTTACACTTGTGTGAAACTCGATAAGTTTGATATGGTTTAAAACCTTTGCAGAAATTGGGGAAGAAGATGAAATTAGAAATGTTGAAGTGTGTTTTAGTAAAAAGGGTAAAATCATAATGTTAATTAGAAACTCCAATTCTATTAGTGAGGGACTTGGATGGAAAAAAGCACATGGGGTAAACGATAAAAAAAATGGCATGGGGTAAGTGATTTAAAGACAAACTATAGGAGTATTTGAACTTTTCCCTTTATTTTAGAAGGAGATGTTGTATGTCACGAGGTAGAAATCACATGTCACCTGTTGATGGAAAGATTTATTAAGGTGATAAAGTTGCTCATGGTAATATGATATGACTTGAATTAGAATACAAAAGGTTGTTTTCATGTTTTGTTGCACAGGGTCTATCTTTTAGGGGGAAATCACCATCAGAAAGAGAGAGCTATTAGCAAAATTTAAAGAATGGTGATACAGATTCTACAAGATTGACTAAGATGCAAGTCTTGAAGATTTGTTCATATAATTGGTCTCTACTAAATATCTGAGTAGTTTGTATACAAGATTCATATATGTTGTACGAGTAATATTTATTCATAAGAGGGGAAGTTAGTTAATTATGAAAATTATAGGGGATAAGATATAGTGCATATTTATTTTCATGCTTATTTTATCCACTATTTTCAAACATAGAATCTCAACTGATATTCACCATTTATTTCTCCTCTTGAGATTCTAATATAAAGATATTAGAGAAGAGCAGGTAGAGTAAGCATGAAAATAGATAGGCACAATATTCTATCTCATATAATAGTATTTTTCTTTCATAATTTTAATTATTGAATTTTTTAACAAGATTTTAATGAGGCATATTCAGGAGTTTTTAACCCATTGAGTTTTTTTAAGCAAGATTGTAACAAGACATATTCATAAGAGATAGGATCCTTTAATACCGATGACAAACTTTGAAATTTGACATCAAATCTTAACTGTTGATTTCTGTCAATCAACGGTTGTTATTTATTGAGAATTAATAAGTTTAATTTTCAATAAATGATAGTCGTTGATTGACAAAAATCAATAGTTAGGATTTGCGGTGTCAAAGAATCCTGCCTCTATTCATAATATATAATTATCTAAAAAAAATGTTGTAAAACACGTTTTACATGGTCAATGTCTGCCTTAATTAAGGATTATTAGATGTCATTATATGTATTAGTAATCACTATCTTTAATATTCATAAATAATGGCGTTTAACCTATATATTATGTAAATTTGTAATCTCTTTTCCCTTGATTCCTACATAAAGAGATGTCATCCGGAGAAGATGCGAAGAAAAAAGAAAGTAAAAATTCTTGAAAAATCTATCTTTTGATAATCCTTGATAGCTTGGTCTCTCCCTAAATCTCCGTTCACTTTTCTCTATATTTTATAACAAATAACATATTTTTGTCATTTGTAAAATATTTTATTTATCATTATGTGAAATAGTAAGTTTAGGTTATTTTGATTAAATAATATTAAACTTCACTTATAATAAAGAAAGTGTTAAAATATATTTTGCTATTACCAAACATGTAAATCATCTAATAACATATTGTTCTAACTCAAATTGACAGGTGTTAAATTTAAAAATATCACTAACTTTTTACATCGAAATTTTTTGACGTGATCAAAAAAGAAAAAGAAAAAAAAGAGAGACTTTTTAAAATTTCAAAGAATAATGAGAATTGCAAATAAACATGACAATTAGGATACGCATGACAATCTTTCCAGAATCAATTTTTTGTCAATTTTTGTTCTCGGAAACATAAATGGATAGAAACAATATCTGATAAAATCGATTTATTTTTTTATTCCCGATAATGAACCGTTAAATTTCCGTGCTAGGAATAGAAAAAATAAAAATAAAAATCTTTTTTTGTTCTCGGATACAAAATGAGAAATACTTTTCTCTTTTATACAAAAGAAAAAGAAATACTTGTCTCTCCCAATCACTCTCCACCACTACATTATCAGCACTACCACCACCATCTCGACACGACCACCACCACCATCGTCGTCGCCGTCGTTGTACCACCATCCTCGTCGTCACCACCACTACCATGATGCCACTGCTACCACCACCTCCACGCCACCGCCACCATCAGTACCAACATGTCATCGTCATCGCCGCAACTGCCACCGCCATCACCACTATTATCATCATCGTCTCTACCACCACTGCCACCATCACCACCACTACCATCACCACATCACCGCCACCGCCACCGCCACCACCACCACTATCGTACCACCACAGTCGTTGTCACCACCTCCACGCCGCCGCTACCATCACTACCACCATGCCACCTTCATCACCAGTCAACCACCACCATCACCAACCACCAACACCATCGCTACAGTCATTGTCGTCACCACCATCACCATCCCATTGCCGCCCTCATCTTTGCTGCTGCCATCGTACCACCACTGTGATCGTCACTACTACGCTGCCATTGCCACCATCACCACCACCACCACCACGCCGCCGCCGCTATCGCCACCTCTTTCATGCCACCATCACTACTATTACCACGTTACCACCATTACGCCACCACCACTATCATCGTCGCCGCCATCATCACCACCACACTATATGAAAAAGAAAAGTGATAATCCGGAAATTTTTATGCTTAATAAGAATATTTTTTATTCTATTATTTGTTGTGTCATCAAACACAATTTTCATTATTGGAATAAAATAAAAGATATTATCAAACTCTCAGAAACTGTTCCAAGGAACAAAAATAAAAAAAAAATTGTTTTTTTTCAGAAATAGTGTCAGAAAATAGAATAGTTGTGAAGTACATCCTTATTGAGACCGAAGAAAATCAAGTTAAAAAAAAATGGAAGACTTTTACATAATAATGTGATGTGATGCGAAAAGAAAAATAAACACATTGTATAAAAATAAAATAAAATAAACGCAAAGATACCAAATAGGCAAAATTCTATTAAAATGTGTGAAACTTTATTTAATGTCTTGATGTTTATCTTTCTTTTCACATAAATTTATCGTATGAAAATATTGGTCGTTGATACTGTACGGTGCCAAATATTGGCAAATGTAATAATGCACTATATTTAAAAGAAAATTTTATTATGTATAAAAAAAATTATTTCTGTAACACAAAAAAACAACAACCAATTTATCACTGATAAAGGGAAATGGTTCATTTAAAGTTGAAAATGAAAATTAAATTCAATAAATATAAAATTCCGTGAGCAATAATTAGTCACTCACTGTTTCTTGCTGCTAGTTTAAGAAAATTAGGAGATAGTTTATCCAGATCAAGGCCTAAAACTAATTAATAGGCATGTTGTTTACCGAAAAAAAATAAAAATATTTTTCTTATGTGGTAGAAAAATAGTTATCTCGTATTATAAAAATAAAATTGTAAGTGAGACCCACACATAAAAGAAGAGAGATAAAAGAATGGTGGGATCCCCTCATTCTTTGTGTGTGTTGAAAAATTATTTATATCATATAAAATGAGATAAATATAACTAAAAAAAAATAGCCATGTTTCGGTTCGGTTTATTATTATTATTATTATTAGAAAAGAAAAACAACTCTATGTCAAGTTCAACATAAACTAAACTGACTGCGTTAGCAATAGCATAGTGGAGGCAAAACTTGATGGACATGTTCCAATCAATTACGATTCTCACTTGAATCGAAATTCCGCTTTTTCTGGTGAAACGAAAATTGTCAAGTGTTGTCAATGGCTCAGATTCCCAACCTAGACAATGCTCCCGTAAATCTCACATCTATTAGGTGAGATCCCCCCGAGTTTCTGCAATTTATTTCAATCTTACGATTCACAATTTTAATTTAATTTTTTTGGTTAAATTAAGGGAACAATCTCAGAAGGAGCTCATCAACATCCTCAAGAATGTAATCACTTCTGAATTCCACCATTTTTTTTGTTTTCCATATGTGAACAAAATTGAAGTTCTGTTCTGCTATGTAATTTCAAATAAAATTTAATGTTCAACTGTTCCGTTTATTTTGGTTTTGCTTGCTATTACTATGTCTGCACTAAACATTGACTTCGTACGTGTGATTGTGATTTTATCTCGTGTTCTTGTAGGTTCGAGGAAAGAAGTGTTTGGTCATTGATCCGAAGCTCGGGGACTCTCTATCGCTTATCATACAGACATCCATTCTTAAGGAAATTTTCTTTCCCTTAGTTGTTTAATGGTTCTTGTTTGATTAGTCGAAAATCAACCCCTAAATATTCTGTTACATTTTTATCTTTGATGTAAAAAATCCTTGTTCTGTTTGGAAGTTATTTGAAATTCTTTTACCAATGGACTCTTGTTTTAATATTTTGATGATATTGAGAGGTCACGTCTAACTTACAAACAGGAGCATGGAGTTGAATTGCGGCATCTCACAGCCGACCCCATTCAAAGTGACTGCAGCAAAGTGGTTTACCTTGTGCGTGCTCAGCCTAATTTGATGAGATTCATATGTTCTAATGTTCATGACGACATATCAAAAGGACTGCAAAGAGAATATCATGTTTATTTTGTCCCCCGCCGCACTGTTGTTTGTGAGAAAGTAAGCTTTCCTTGGAAATGAATCCATTTCCATTAGCTTGAGCATGGTGTTTTTCCTGTTTAAATGCTGTATATCTACGTCAACAATATAAATAATTATTTTTCTTGTGCAGGTTCTTGAGGAAGAGAAATTACATCATATGATTACAATAGGGGAATATCCCTTGTATATTGTACCGATGGATGAGGATGTACTGTCGTTTGAACTTGATCTTTCTTACAAAGTATGTTGCATATTACTAGTTCTGTTCATGCTGATTTATTTATTGAGTTTATTTAGTCTCTTTTAATATTGTAGCTTAAAGACTTTGAAATTTCTAGCATTTAGTATTTGTTTTGACTAATTACTTATCCTTGTTTGCCTTCTTTTTGTGGTAGGAATGCCAAGTTGATGGTGATACAAGCTCACTTTGGCATATTGCAAAAGCCATTCACAAACTTGAGGTTGTCGTTTTGAATACATAGCGATGTCAATTTTTCTAAACAAGGAAGCTTTAGACTTAGAACAATTAGCATAAAAGAGAGAGGAGATAATCCAGTAGAATTGTCCCTTTATGAATATCATCATCATAAACATGATTATGATCTGCGCGTGCTCTTATAATCGTTTCATTAATTCATTTGATTTTATCTTGTAGTTTTCTTTTGGAGTGATACCAAATGTGAGGGCGAAAGGAAAAGCATCTGTACGCATTGCAGACATCCTAAACCGAATGCAAGCCGAGGAACCGGTTAACTCAACTGATGTAATCATGCTCTACTCTGTTTTTCTGTTTAAGCCAATGAGCATAGCAGAAAAACAAACAAAAGCAAAGTTAATCTTACTTAATTTAAAATGCACCCTACAATCTTCTGATTATTTGCTCTTTGTTTGTTCAGATGGTTGTGCCCGAGATAAATACATTAATCCTTTTAGATAGAGAGGTACATCCTGTTTTTCGATCCCATCTCTGTTATACATAATTTGTAGTGTCTTTGGGGATTTTCTACTCGGTGTCCTTGTACTGTGTAATTTATGTCGCCTAAATAGGTTATGTCCTGTTCTGTACACTTCTCGTTTATTAATTCATAAAAATTTGTTAATGTGAGATTTTTGTCCATAAATGAGATTAGAAATTTGAAAGTTGAACAGATCATTATTTCTTACTATACCCATGCTTAATTTTCTGTGTGCACTTTAAGTTGTATTTCTCTTTTTGAGGCCCTGCTATTCCATTTGTTTGGATACAAGGGGTGTCCACATGAATGATGGTCATTGAAATTGAGTATGCTTTGGATGCAGGTGGACATGGTGACTCCCTTGTGTTCCCAGTTAACATATGAGGGGCTACTTGATGAGGCAAGTTAATACTGAAGCAGCCTACACCTTTATGAATGAATTTTTTTGGATACAAGATTTGATTGTTTTGCTATTTGATCAGGCTTTTCTCTTTAGAATATTCCTTAAACAAGTTTGGTTATCTTAATGATCTCTTTCCCTTCATTTCTTTGTGTTATTGTAAGTTAGAATATGGAAATTTTTCTATTGCATGCTTTAGTGATTTGCTCAAGGAGTTCTAAAGTTGTATGTAGGCTTCATGCAATATTGCAGTGCCGCGAATTGGTGTTGGGAAAAATAGTATTATAACATATGCAAATAGGTTAGAAATTATATCTATTTTTATATATACTTTACTGAATTTGTATAATTGCAGTTTCTGCACATCAACAATGGTTCTGTAGAGCTTGAGGCATCTGTTATGGGTCTTCAACAAGAAGGAAAAAAAACTAAAGTTCCACTCAATTCAAGGTAAGTTAACTTTCACTTGCTCTATCTAGCTAGCAATGCAATAACATATTTATTTTCTATGACATGAATGGTTTATATCATGTTTCTCATTACTCTTCAATTTTTTAATGAGTAGGTTGCTTTGTCAAATATTCATGTTATCTCTCCTTTTAAATATCTGCTGATACGCATATTGATATTGACTCATTTCATTATGATTTTCTGCATGATTAGTTGAAACAGAACATGTATGTATATTAAATGTTTCAGAAGCTCACACAAACAAAACAAAAGGGACTACCACTACTTGTTGCATTCTCTTTTTAGTGTCATTTTGATAGAATCCAGTGGCGTCAATTGATTGCCAACCCCACTATATGGCTTGCTTTTTTTTTTTTTTGGAGTTGTAAAAATGATCTCAATTTTGAGAAGGTTTCCCTTCTTTCATTATTATTACTATTATTTTTTTAGTTGATTGAAGGAAATCCCTATTTATTCCTATATCATGATATTTAGTGAATACATGGTACTATGGGCTTGATTTTGTATTAAATAGTATTTGAGATTTGTTGGAACCTAAACTCTTTGTACAATGGGTACCTTGAATATCAGTTTGCATATAATCAAGGTGTAAGAGGATGTAAACCTTGAATGATGCCTTTATTACAATTAAGTCTTTGTTCTATTATAGTCTAGCAAACAGAAATATCTGTGTTTTAGGATGCCTTTTTTTTTGCTTTAAATCCTCTTTTACGTCGTATTTCAGAAATACACTTTTTTCTTTACACTTTTCCTTTTGCTCATAATATTTCGTAAAGTGACATTTCTTGCATGACCTGTGTCAGTGACAAGCTTTTTAAGGAGATTCGGGATCTCAACTTTGAAGTTGTTGTCCAGGTTGATTCATTTTTACCACATATATTGATCGCAGTTATCTCTTAAGATTCCCTCTCTCTCTCTCTCTCTCACACACACACACACACACGCACATAGGGGCAGGGGGGAGTGTATTTGGATAAAAAGATCTTTGGCTCCCTTGTAGTTCTATTTTCTTAGTTGCTGTCTGCAGTATTGCAGATTTTGCGTCAAAAAGCTACATCCATGAAGCAAGACTACACAGAGATGACAACTACTGTAAGTAGATGGTCTTATTCTCGGACTAATTTTACTGTAAATTTTGCAAAAATAACTGTTCTGAAACCAACTTGTGTGAAAGTAATCTCAGTGAATTTACTGAAGTCCTGTTGTTTTCAATTTCATTCTTTGGAGATCCAACACATCAAGTTTTCAAATAGTTTTACTGCTATACTTTATCTTTAAGCTAATTATACATTTAAAGCTTGCTTGATAGATGCAATGTTTAAGAATTTTTAAAAAAAATTACTGCTTGAATAAGATGAACATGCATAAAAATTTTCAGAAGCAGTTGAATAAGTTTTTATAACTTTTGGAAAGTTAACATGGATTTGTAAAGAGACTTTTTTAATATATTGCTTTCCATGATAACCAGACACAGACAGTTTCTGAGTTGAAGGACTTTGTGAAAAAGCTGAATTCATTGCCAGAGATGACAGTAAGAACATTTTTGTTATAGTATTGACGTTTCATTAACAGTAATCTCATAGTGAGTATAGAATCATAATAAGCTTTAAATTATTTCTACAGAGGCACATAAATCTCGCTCAGCATCTATCAACATTCACATCAAAGCCTTCATTTCTTGGGCAGCTTGATATGGAACATACAATTATTGAGGCCCAGAGTTATGACATGTGAGTTAATTTTGCACGCAGATAGCTTAAAATGTTGGATGATATTATATTTTAAATTAATATAATTTCTCTCTGTATATATGTAGAAAATTATATTAATTAAATATTGCGGAGTTTCTTAGCATAGATAGGCAGGGCCTATGCATTGTCCACCCTTCAAACCCAATGGGCTTTTGTGTAAGGGGTTGTGTTAGAGAAATATAATATAGAACCATTAATGTGGCCTTCACCTAATATCTTAAGCTTTTGGATTGAATTGACGTTTTGCAGTTTGATTTGCAAAACCAATTAATGTAACATTGTTATCTGGGTCAGTGTCTGTAGTTGAGTAGCTGGTGATGCATTATGGTTAACAGATTGCTGCATGTACATAACCTACGTTATTATATGAAACTTATGCCGTTCATATATGCAGATGCTTTGATTATATTGAAGAATTGATCCATAAGCAGGAGCCTTTAGGAACAGTGCTACGCCTTCTAATCCTGTTTTCTGTTACTAATTCTGGTTTGCCAAAGAAACATTTTGACTACTTGAGGCAAGCTTGCATACTTCATATATCCTTTATTCTATCCCTTTTTCATTTTGTTACTTTTGTAGATCCTTGGGAATCACTAACCTATAATATTATTCCCATTTTGTATTTTGTACAATATTCGATCAGATTTGATTTTGGAGTACTTATTGTTCTCTTGTATATTTGTAACTTCTAATTTAGGAGAGAACTACTCCACAGCTACGGATTTGAGCACATAGCAATGCTAAATAATTTAGAGAAAGCTGGACTCTTTAAGAAACAGGTATAATACATCCAGTTGTTTACTTGCAAATGCACATGGATGTATAAATTTTTTGTTTAATAATTAACTCTCATTTTGCATGTGATCCTTTTAGGAGTCAAAAAGTAATTGGCTTACTATAAAACGTGCTCTGCAGCTTGTGGTTGAAGAACCTGATACGGCCAAGTAATTTCTTCTAGATGATGTGATCCTTGAACCTTGATTATGTTTTTAAATTGTGTTAAGTTCATCGCCACAATTTAGATCTATTATGGAATTATGGTAATGGGTGTGTATGTGAAAAAATAAAATATGGTATATATAATTATGCATTGTGAAATGATAGAAAATATAGAACTAAGCATCCCAAATCCTCTCTATATGCCCATCTCTTTTAAGGTTGATTGTTGTTGCAGCAATAAATTTCCCAGATTTCTAACCATGCTTGCTCTTCTTTTGTTTTTTTGTTTATTTATTTCTACTACTAGAATTTCTCCGTTGTTCATTGTTAATTCGCTTTGTAGTTGTAATCAACGATGCTTCTTTTTTTATTTTTTATAGTACATGATTCATGAGTAGATGAATGGACGAAATTCTTGCAAAATCTCTCATAGAAGTCTTTTAAATTGTCATTTTTGATAAACTACTGTTACACAATTATCTATTTGAGTTATTGTAGTCCTGTTTCCCTACTTACTCTTAAAATGATTTGCTACTATGACAGCCCCAATGATATTGCTTACGTCTTCTCTGGATATGCACCACTTAGCATTCGTCTGGTTCAGCATGCCATTCGATCTGGATGGTAAACCTGAATATCTAATACTGAAAGTCTTCCTAGTTCTTGTTGAGCATGCCAATTAACTTCATTCTTTAAGATAGTTGTATATAAATATTATAGAAAAGTTCAACTAACTTGACCGTAAATTTCATCTTATGCATATCTATGTCAGAGGTGGCTTTGGTTAAATGCTTTACAATTAAAAGTCATGGGTAGAAATGGATCAGTATTCAGTGCTGACCACAAAGTATAGTTTAAGATGTTAAACACCCGGCACTGTCGATTATAGTCAGACATTAGTTCTTTGGTGCAAATATGTCGACAATCACATCTCAATATACTTACTGCAGTATATTTTATGGGCTTACATTAGTTCTTTGGTGCAAATATACCGACAATCACATCTCAATATACTTACTGCAGTATATTTTATGGGCTTTGTAACAGGTCTGTTGAAATATTGTTACTTAATGGGCAAGGCTGCAAAGATTTTATATCATTGTTAGTACATATTACAGTGTATTCCTCTCGGTTGAGGGTGAATTCCAACGTTTACTTGATGCAATACCATTGTTGCTCAGCTCCTTAGCTCATTACTAAATTGAAAGCTGTATGAATTTTTTTTAAGGAAAAGAATTTTCAGTAAGGGAGAAAAGAAAAGTTCAAAGTTAGATGACAAGACATCCTCACAAGAAAATACAGAAGAAACACCTAGAAACCAAGAGATTGGGTCCTGTAACAAGGCATGCCAATCTCTCTGATGTCTAACAAAGAAGCACCTCTAAACAGTCCATGATGAAATTGAAGATTGTTGGATATTAGACAGCTATTTATACCTAATCACAGTATCTTAGTTTTTATTTATCCAAAGCTTTAAAATTTCTCCTTTTGGTGTACTATTACATGCAACACATTTGCTTTTGCTTGAAAAGATCTATTGACTTGCTCAGTGATTGCATTAACTTTTAAAGTGATTTTCTATGTTTGGGTACTGAATGTGAGCTCAGTAGTTGACAACTGATGCAATACTGAATGTGATAATTGATCTTTTAGGCGTCCTGTTGAAGAAATTTTGAAACTGCTTCCTGGACCTCATTTGGAAATAAAGAGGGTTAGTACTTATCAATTTGACCCACTAGAAATCTTGTAACTCCTGTTATAATTATCTACTCTTACTGAATGCGTTTTCTCGCATGATATTTCCAAGTTCTTAAACTGTTTAAATCAAAGTCACATCATCACTAATATCCCATTCACCTCCTTTCCTAGTTATATTTTAAGTTTCGATTGCTCTATTGCTTGTACAGGGTGGATTTTCAAATAGCCCATCATTTGACTCTTTATCAGGGGTTTCAACCAGCATAGCTAAGTATGTTTCTATCAGTGCCAGTTTTCTAAAACTTTGCATCTCCTCCTTTATCCTCAGTAAAATGCTACTAATATGACTAAAAAAAATGTTATAAATTCCAGGAATATAATGCTTACCATTTCATGTAAGTGTCTGCCAAATCACTAAGATAAAGATTTCAAATTGATAGCTGTTAATAAGGTTCAGATAGATCCTGCTGTATATATTTCATGCACAATATTTTACTTGTGGTTGTGGAGGATATCAATTAGCCCCAGATGGGAGGTTTAATGCCGGGCAAAAGCTCCTAACAAAGATTTCAACTGTGTTTCATTTGTTTTTAGTTTTTGGTGATAGGTTCTTAAAAAGGGAAGCTATTGGAACTGAATGGTTTACATTTGACATTGGTGTTTCAAAAATTTGCTGAAATTTGTAGACTCAAAGGAAGAAGCCTTATAATTTTGTCAACCACCTTTTTTCTTTCTCACATTTCATATATTTCAGAATACCCGATGGAAGGCGTGCTCTGGTGCTTGTTGTCTTTGTTGGGGGCGTTACCTTTGCCGAGATTTCTGCACTTCGATTTCTCAGTGCTCAGGTGTGTTAATTGTTGCCTATTTTTGAATGTTCCAAGACACTATGTTAATCAATGCATTCTGCCTCTAATTTAAATCTAAATTTTTGAATATGGTTATTGGTCCATGATATATCAGGTAAATAGACTTCCCTGCTTAAATGCTTAGTAAAATGGGTAAACTAATAAGGGTAAAATTGTCAAGTTCAAATAATTGAAACTAAATCAAATCAAATCCACTCATATCCAACCAAACTTGAGTGGATTTCTGAATACACACAACGTGAATCAAAAGGATTACAAAATTAAATCAATTCCTATTTTTTAACCTTCCAAATGAAGAATTTCATTTATATTCAATTGATTCAATTCCTAAAGTTTGTTTTCCAAACACATTCTTTGAGACTTCTAGACTCACTGAAGAATTCTTCACACATCTCTCTGTGATACATGGAACTCATACAAGGGTCTCAAACGATGAGGGAGAGGAGGGGAGACAAGCCTAGGCAAGCTAGAGACTGAGGTTAGGGTCTTGGAACATAAGAACTCTTAACTGAAAAGACTATGGAGATATTGGACTGGCACAATGATTAGAATTAGAAGAATAAATATTGTGGTTGCAACTTGCAAGTCTTGGCTCTCAAGTAGAGATCAAACAAGGAATGGAATTAATACCAATATGGATGTCACTAGAAAGAAACAGTATAAGGTGATCAGATCATTGCCTTAAAGCTAGTTCACTGGAAGGAAGCACTAGATATTTAGTATATATACCCCTCGAATTGGACTAGATGCTTAAACCATATTTGATTTCTGGGAGGATCTAGAAGGGAAAATTCAAGCCGTCCCAGGAGGAGGAAAAAAATTGTTGTACGAGAGAAGCAAAAAATTAGAAGAGGGAATATGGTTCTGGAGAAAGGAATAAGGGCAGGACTATTTTGGAATTTAGAATAGCATATATGATAGTTACTTAGTTAGTATCCTCGAAAATTGGGATGATCATGTTATTACTTTCAAAAGCAGAACCTCAAGGACACAAAAATAGGGATAAAAAATATATGTTCCAGTGTACTATTGTTCAATTCTTATTTCCCACAGCATGTTCATGTTAAATACGAATAGAGAACACAACTTTGTTTTCGTGTATGTTTACCATACAGGTATTAATTTGGTTCAGTATTGAACAACAAACTCACGTAAACACTGGATAATTTAATTCGTCTCTTCTTCGTTATATCCCACTTTATACCATTGACTGAGCATTAGGTGTAAATCTTCTCGTTTGGTTCTTATCTCCTAATTTTTAATGTGGTTTGATTTGCAGGAAGGCATGGCATATGATTTGATAATTGCAACAACAAAAATGGTCAATGGCCAAACCTTGGTTGAAACATTTATGGAAAAGCTAGGTTGATTAACGAGTGTAGTTTTATAATCTCGAGTGCCTTTCTGGTTTAGAGAGGCGAGTTTATATTGGATGATGCCAAACCAATGCTATGCCTAAGCGAATTCTTGTAGGATGATGCCGAACTGATGATGTGATGAAAGCTCTATTGGTGCTGTAGAATTGTGTGATTGGGACAATTGGGAGGATAGAAGCCTAGTCTTTCGAGGGGACTATCTGGAATTAATAGTATGAGGGCTATTTTTCGCTGTGCTCTTATTTCAATTTGTGGCAAATGATCGAGCATTGTATGCCTACTTATGTTTGTAGTGTGTTAGTGTTGATTTTGGTTGAAAATATTAAATGAAATAGGGGGTGTTTGGTATGAGAAATTTTTTATTGCTGAGAAAAAAATATTCTCGGAATATGATAGGTAATTTTTTTGGCCTGGGTAAGTTACAGAAAGGTGTTTGGTAGGCAAAAAATTTATTGGAAAAGTTAAGTTATTTTTACTAATGCTATGTTTGGTTGACGTTGAAATATTGACGGGAATGTGTTATGATATTACCAAATTACCCATATTAATAATCAAATAATATTAAAATATTAAAATGACAGTCATCAAAGTACATTGATATCCATTGTTTTTTGAACAAAATTTCAGATTCTAATAAATTTTGATGAATCTCTCTCCTCTCGGCATATTTTAGATTGCAATTTTTTTTTTCCTTTGCGCAGTACAAAACAAAATGCATGGGAGAAATATTATACTGATATTTTCTAACCTGAACCCATACCAAACGAGGTTAATATATTTTACTTACACAAATTTTCTTGCATTTCTATCAAATTCTTCGTACCAATTTCACCCCTGAACATTTAAATGGCCGCATGTCCATTCTACACCTTGAAGTCGCCCTTTTGAATAGATTAATTTAATGTATTTTTATTAGACCCCTAATTTCATAGCTATCTTATATTTACTACTTCCATTTCCTCTTAATTTTTTATAATGAAAATGGAGTAAAAAAATTTACATTTATTTGGTTTTGGATTAACCAAAGGAATTGGACGGCCTCGGCTGGACGTACACGAACTGTGCAACCATGTATAACAAAAATAATACTATCCGTGAATAGATTAAACAGGATGAGTTCGAAGATAGGTTTTAGATATATCAAAGCTTGGAAATAATATCAAGCTTGGTACATTTTAATCCAGAAGGCTTGAGAGTACTGTAGTTCGTCTCTAGTTGTTTACAGCCTTAATTGTATCCTAAAATGTTAGCCTTTACTATAATAGACTTAAGTTTCAATAATTGCCAACTTAGCCTTGAGAGTCAATGGCAGAAACTAAACCCATCTATAATCCTCACGTAACATATTCAACAGTTAATTTACAACATTTCCCTTTTTACAGACAAATGTCAACCAAACATAATACGAAGTTCCTGCACAAGTTGCCTGCTTATCTTAAAAATCAACTCCATCAGCAAGGTGACTTCATTTAAAGTAAAAAAAGAAAGATAAAGAGAAGGAATACACTATTATTACAGACTACTCATGTGGACATGGTTACCTTTGAGACTAAGAATTTTGCAAATTATCATCCCCTTCCATTCGTTGTAAGAGTTCTAATATACTTCCAGCTTTCCTCTTAGCTCTATCGGTTCCATTTTCTGATAATTCCTGCAGTGCTGCTTCTGCACCATGTTCCTTTGCTAGTTTCAACTGCAGTAGATCTCCCGTGCATAGTGACCACAAGACAGCAGCAGCATTCTCCCGGTTGCGTGGAGATCCGGTTCGTATGACCTCAATTAGAGTAGGGATTGGCTCAGCCTGACCAATTGCTATCCTGCCTTCATGATGGCTTGCAAGGATTGCCATTAGAGCTAGTGCTTCATCTACCATTCCACCCCCAGCATCCTTCAGAAATCGCATCAATGGGGCCATTATACCGGCTTTTACAGCTCTTGCTTTGTTTCCCTGGTAAATAGATAGATTGAAGATAGCAGTAGCAGCATCCTTCTTACCTCTTGGGGTACCTTCACAAAGTAACTTAATAAGAGCTGGGATAGCTCCAGCTGCACCTATTGCAACTTTGTTCTCATCGAGAACAGATAAACTAAAGAGAGTTGCAGCTGCATTTTCTCTAGCCTCCATGCTGCCAATTTTCAGTACATCTACAATATCTGGTATAGCTCCTGCATTTACTATAGTTCCTTTGTTACTCTCATTGATGGAAAGATTGAGAAGAGCTGTAACAGCATGCTCCTGGGTTCGAGGATCCAGGGAAGACAACAGATCTACAAGAAGTGGTATTGCTCCTGCCTCGGCAATACATACTCTGTTATCCGCATTCCTCTTAGCCAGCAAACGGAGCTCGCCAGCAGCTGCTCTTTGCTTTTCTATATCACCATTTACTAGTTTATCCAATAAAGCATTAATAGCAGTTCGATCACAATCTGATAGACTGCTTCCGGATTTCTTTGTTCTGCAGCTCCCTTGCTTCTTTGGTAATTCAACACCATTGCTTTCACACCATAAAGCAATCAGACTCTTTAAAACGTAGTTAGGGGTAAGGGCTGTATGCAAAAGTGTCTGCTGTGTCTTGGGGCAGGTTTTGTGACCAGCATCTAGCCATTTTTGGATACAGGATCTTTCATATGTCTGCAAAAAGAAAGTAGAAAGTTTATGAATAATCATAACTGACACCATTAGACCAGTGCCACACCCAAAGACAATCTTGTATAATACCTGGCCAGTGGAGACAATTACAGGATCTTTCATTAGTTCAAGAGATATAGGACATCTAAAATCATCTGGGATCACAGGAGACCTATGCTTAATTGACACTTTTTCACACTCAAAGGTGTCAACCTCAGGATTTTCCGTGAGCACACAGTCCTTCAGTTTCCTAAGAAGGGATGACATCGTCTCTAAACAGTCCCCTAGTTCTCCGCTGCTTGTGATAACCAATTCATGTAACTCACCAGACTCTTTCTTTATGTCATTTATAGTCCTCAGATACAACTTCTCAGAAAGTCTTTTGAGTATAGCAGGATCAGGGTCTTTTTCTTTTTGTGCTACTGTAATATCCAAGTCTAGTTGTAAATCAGTAAATTCTGTCTGAGCTTTGGCTCTCTTGAATTGAGCATGCACCAGTTCAATCTGAAAAATATTAAAACAGTAGTGAAAAATGTGGCACATAATCTGTCAATTGATTACTCAACTCCCGTGTACAAAATACCTATTATAAAAAGAGAGGAATAAATAGAATTTGATACTCAACCCTTTATCTTTGCAAAAAAAAAATCATTTGGAGAAATTTAAAAGCACAGCAATCAATATGATTAGTAGAACTGACAGGAAAAGGTTTGAATCACCATGGAATTGCATGTGGTATTGTTCGTTTCCTTCTAAAGTATGATAAAAATTACCTGTTCTTGAACTTCCTCTGATATCTCAAGTTTGTTGTATGAAATTTCACTCAATGCAGCTTCGATTTTTTCAGTTATTTTTTGGAACTTATCTGCTGTATCATTCCTCCGCAAAGCCTGTGACATGTAAAATAGTAATTAGACTAAAATTTAGAGTCTGGATCAACAAACATGTTTGCTAAACAAACTGAACCAGAAGGCATAGAGCATCTTCAGATGTTATAATCTCTTACTCTAATTTTAACAATAGTGATCCACAATGAAATTTGAAAGTCAGCTAGTGCACTGTACACCAACGGAAGGAAAAACTTGCACAGGTTTTCAGGAATACACTATTTTTTGGAATTTAAACTTCAAGCATCTGTTTTATCTAGTTGATAGGTTTTCCTATGCACCATGCAGATTGGAGAAAATAAAAATTGATGACCACATTGATCATGTATGATGAGGAAAACATGCTAAAATAAAAACATTGCTTAAGTCATCAAAGTGAACATTAAATATAGAACAAGGAGTACCAATATATATTTCATAATGAAATGCAAATAAGAACTATAATTTCCACGAGTTTCAAAATCCTTGCTATATGTCCGATATCTCAACGCCTTACGAATAAGGGATTTTTTTACTGAATATAAGAATTTTCCTTTTCAAATGCAGATAAGAAATTATATATGAAGTAGCCAGCAAATATTTGCATACAAACAAAGCCAAATGAAATTGATCGAAAAGGATATACTGCAATGGACACACGCTTCAAATGCAAGAAACAACAAACACTTAAGTAATTGGATATTCCTGCAATTAAATTTGGGAATTTGTGCATACACATATGAACACCTGAGATTTAAAGCAAATGAAAATTTTCTCTAACAACGTCCATCAAGAAAGATACTGATAGAAAGCATTGGCATCCCCCATACAATCCAAACACAAGCAGAAAATAATCCCACCAAAAAAGAAAGAAAGAAAGAAAGAAAGTGTAACATGCAGTTTTGGTAATTTGCACTGCTAGGATACAAACAAATTATAAAAGCAATTTATTTTTCATCAATTTTCAAAAACAATGCCCACAAAAAACAAAACAGTGGCATCACATAATAGAAAACACACAACTTTTCAAGAATTTCCCCCCACTTTAAGAAAATCAATCACCTACAAAACAGAGTTAACTCATATTTTTTGGCAAAACATAAAAACCACACAAAAGTCAATACCTGGTAAATCTTACTCCCTTGACGCACAGACTTAAGAAGGGTCTTAGCTGAATCCAAAGCAACGCTGAGCGATTCAAAGGCTTCAAGCTGTTCATCGCTGAGAGACTCATCACTATCCTTCAATTCCTCAAACAGAGGACTCAACAGCTTCACTCTGCGAACCAAATTCCCATACATGTTCTTGCAAACGTTCTGACATTCAGGCAACCCAGAAATCTCCTTGATGGACTCAGCCAAACGACCCATAACCATAGCCTTTGAGTTCTCGCTCCCACCCATTTTGAGACACACAGAGAAAAGAAGTCAAAGCAGCAAACTTTGACCACAATATCGAGAGTGCTTCAAATTTGGAGGGTGATTGAGGATACCCAGATGAGTGAATCGTGGGAAATCAGCAAAGATGGGAAGGATCACGGCGGAGAATTGAAAGCCACCATGAAGGTTGCAGAGAGCAGAGGAAGAAGCTTGTGTTACTTGAGAAGAGGGAATTTGGGAAAGAGAATTGGAATTGGAATATTTTGGAGGATGAAATTAGGAATAAAAATTGGAATTGAAAAAAATTGAAGAACAAATGTTTATTTGTATTTGACCTTCCTGGAAAAGGTCTTTGCCTAGTTTCATAGGTAATTAAGACTATGAAAGAACCATTTGTAATCGATGACCACCTTCTCATATGTGATTAATAACTGTTGTGAAAATCCCTACCCGATCCGGCCTGTTTGATCAGGAGTTTGGTTGAATCGATTCGAGTCAAGTATTGAACCGATTATGCGTTAGATCCGATCAAATTCGGCTGAACTAGATCAAAATTGGTTGAATCATGTATTTTTATAAAAAAAAATCAAAAACCAAAAACCAAAAACTAAAATTATTTCATTTTATCATAAAAAAATATACAACTCATTTTAAATTTTTTTGTAATTTTATTTGCTAGTAATATACTTTTATACAATGATCTCAAATTTTAACCTCCAATACTGAAGTAATTTGCGAAACAATAAATTAAGAGAATGTGACATATGTCATTTCAATGTAGATAAATTTAAAAAATATGTGTTTATAAATCTGGCCTTTTGAATGTCATTAAGAGGTATGCTATGTGAATTCTGAATTACAATTTAAATTGACTTAGTAATAATATGTATTTTCATTTATTTGTGCTTTATGAACTTGTAAAGTGTTTTATGAACTTGTAAAGTGTGATTGAGTAATTTTTGAGCTTATTCAGTGAACCTTGTTTAACTCATTTTAAATATGAAGAATATAATTAATTTTATATGTTCATATTTATATATTTTTTTTATATATCCGGATCAATCGGTTCAACCAATGACTCAGTACTTCAATTGGGTTGATGTCCGGGTCGGGTTTAATAACATTTTTTTTTTTTTTTTTAAGTTTATGTGTAAACTAATATGAACGAATTTATAGGTCATTTAACAAGGGGTTTATGGTTTAACTAAAATTGGATACAAAAAATGAATGTTTCTTTTATAATGATGTTACTGTGTTCGTCCTCATTATATATCAGTTTGATATAAGTTTATGGAAAATCATACTCTTATGTTGCATAAGATTGATCTCTCATATTACTCTCACTTCGAAAAATATGCCTCTTTATTTTTTTCTTCTAAAAATTGGTGGACCCACTTTATTTATCTCTTAATATGAGAGAACTTTTCTCATGAAGTAATTTTAGGGGCCTCTAAGTTTATTGCACTAGAAGTGCAATCTAACCCTAATCTGATAAAAAGAATTTCCATCATTATATGTCAAATTACATTGTTTTAATATTAAAAAATAAATATAAAGAGTGTTCGAAATGAATTATGATTGTTTTTGTATATTTCCAAAGCATAGCGACTGCAACAAAAATGGATTTGTACATTAAACCGTCATGTTTGGCCAATTTTTTTAGACTCTCAAAATTAATATTGTGGTAAGTAGAATTATCTTTAAAAGAAATAATTTTTTTAGTGAGTAAATTGATTAGGTCCAAACAAATCATCTAGATAAAATTATTTTTCTAAAATTCAATTTTAAGACAATTTTCCTAAATATAAAATTATAAATTACTTTTTAACATTAATTCTTTTAAAAATAAAATATTTTAAATTAATTTTATCAAAATATAAACCAAACAATCCCACAAGCGGATTTAAGAAATGTAAATAACATGGATATATGTCAGTGGTTTAGGATCCAACTCAATCACTTTAAAACTTCACTTATATATAAATGTTTATTTTAAAAATTATTATTATTTATGCAGCTCTTAAATTTATAACTGTGTACAATTTTACTAATGCTTTCAATTTTCTTTCGAAACCTAATCTCCACCAGTATGGCTCTCAAATTCTTATTTGTTGACAATTGAAGGTATTGAGGTGAATTGTCAATTGTAAAACACAGATTATAATTGTTAAATTGACAATAATTTTGACAAACAGCTTCTTCAATCATGATTTTGAAATTCCCAAGAATAAAACTGTCAACAGAAAATTATATTTAATAAACTTTGCCGACACTTCATGATGCAGTCAACTACGTGTTACATTAAGACGCGTCCACAGCCATTAAATAAATGACAAATTCGGGACTCCAAATTTGGCATTTATTTTCTTTTTTAATTGAACTTAATAAAAAAATATAAATGAAAGCAAATAGCAGAATATTGTAATGTCATTTTTCCATTTGAAATGGTCATTCCTAATTTGTCATTATTGCTCAATCGCCCTCAGCCATCCCAAGTTCGTTGCGTGAAAGAAATGCAAGGGTAGGTTGGACTGAGTATATTCTATTAAAAAAAGTTATAAACTTTTAAATTTTATAACATCAATTATACAACATATGATTTTGTCAGAGAAAAATCCGTTTATAATTTTTTTTTACAAATTACAATAAGTATGACCGATTAAAATATGACCAATCATACTTAGTGTAATTTGTAAACAAAAATTCCGTAAATATAACCTTATCCGATTTTGTTAATACAAATTATCCTAACTTGTAGCATTGCTTAAGTTGTCCGAATATCTCCATGAAGCCTTTCTTTTTCTGGGACCAAGCTTAATGCTTCCATTAGGTATTGTAAGAGTTTATTGACATACATTTCGTTACTAATTTTTTTTCTATAAATGTTCATAATACTCTATTCACAAAAAAAAAAACAAAAAAAACTATACTCTAGTTTCATGCGTGGCCTCAAAATTTCAATCTTTAACATGCAAAAGAATGTAAAATTATATTATGAAGTAGAGGTATTAAAATGGGTGGAACCGACAAGTCAATCCGTGTAGCACGCAAATTGAAATTCATTCAACAAACATGTTCAATTTAGCCATAATTTGTGGGTCTCACAAAGCATGATCTACAACAACCTAATGCATTTTGTGTCTGACATGGTGTCCTAGATGATATTACACCCTTAAACGAATTAGAAATATGATAGATAAACGGAAAAACACTTCTCTTTTCACAAGAAAAGTGTCATCTTATGCCACACTCAATTCGTTTTGCGTGCCACACTCATAGGTAAAAGATCATAAATAGACATGAAATCATAAATAGACATGACTCATATTTGAGGGTCTCACAAAGCATAGCCTATTGTCGCATCTGTCTAACATGGTGTCCATGATGTTATTACAGGTTGATAAATGACCAGAGAAATCTAATAACAATATACATAAACATAACTCATGCAATACAAATTTAAAGGATCCAAATCAAATGCAGATACTTTAGTGAACTGCGTTCTGGCTACATCAAGTAATTGATGGGCGAGGCAGTCTTTTGGCAATTTCCTGTGAAAAAGAAAATGTCAATCTTTTAGCCTATTGTGAATGTCCATTCTAAGCCCTGCCTAAGAACATTATATTAGTAAAAGATTATATTTACGTACAAATATGCAATCATGACTATGGTAATTATATATTAGTATTTAGATGTTAATACTACATGCCAACACAACAGATAATAGTAAGACTTAAAACAACCCAACATGAATTTAGAATTTTGCAAGGTGTACGTACACAATTTTATTGTCAAATCAAAGCATGTTGACATGAATTACAATTTAAGCTACACAGCACAATAACAAGGGAACACAAAGGAAGGGGAAATGACTCGAGCCAGGAGCTGTAGCTTAAGTAGTGCCTAGTCTATTAAGAAACTCCCAGGATAGAATCTGAGCCATGCCACTTTGCTTGCATTTTAGCAGACTGTTACCTTTCTCAATAAAACATCTTAGCCCTCCTTTTAAACCAAAAAAGGAAGGAAGAAAAGAAGAGAAATGAAAAACTAGTTAAAGATCTTAGTCAGAACTCCAGACTGAAATCAGACCAACAGTCAAGGTTTCGTTGATATAGAACTTCCCCTTGTAGGCTACATCATTAAAGTTGTCAAATCAGCATTTCTTGAGTTGCGTCGATGCGGTAATTAACTAATGTCATATAGCCTGAGTAGAGGCAGCAATCCAATCCTGAGGTCCCTCTCAACAAAATTTTCAAGGATTAAGGTCAGAAAAAGCAGGCACTTTGGAATAACGTCTATCATAATTTCTGAATAATAGAGTGATGTTATTTTCATATCATGTTTGGTTGCAAACTACACTCTGTACATTCAGCAGGCATCCAGTGGTTATAATTCTTGAGAGGCTTCAGTCTTTTTCGGATGTCGGAGGCTACCTAGCAGTTGGTGCTTTTTAGCATGCTTGTTTAACTTCTCTACAAGTAGCAATCTTGCATAGCCTTAAAATGTGATCCAGGCCATTCTAATTTGCTTTATCTGGGCTACATCTTGATGTATTCCAAGACCAAGATATTACCTTTGTTGGAAAAGATTCAATCTTGGAATTTGTAGAATGGGATTCCTATCCCAAGATCATCTTTAGCTCCTCCACTAGGTCTATATGAGTTTGCTACAACTATCTTCAGGCAGCAAGAACATCATGTGGAAGCTTGCTAGAAGCATAGTCAACGATGTCCTAAGAGACCAAAGATCAGAGTTAAAACTGAAAATTTACTACTAGCACAGCCTGTGGAAAATCCCAAAGATCTGCAAGTCAATATCAAGCAGTATTCCAACACTTCCTAACACTTGAGCATGTTTTGACTTAAACTTCTTGTAGCCCGTGTGTAGAGCTTAACATTAAATAGGCTATGTGCTTCATACCACATGACCAGTATCAAAACAGGAACAAATCATTTTGGCACCTTATATTCAATCAGAAGTGACATCAATTCCCAAATAATTTTATGATACATCTTTTATCTACAAAAGATAAAACTGTGATCATAAATAATTTAGAGTTACCGAAGTTAAGATGTGAGCATGTCCATTCCTAATTGCCATAACAACCACAACCAGGCACTGACTATTTTCTAGTGTTCATCCATTCTCATTCTTGCCAAATTCAAAATATCATGATTAATTTTAAAATTTAATAACTGGAAGGAAGTAAACATCAAAAGTACCTCAAAAAGTTCATTTATATTATCTGCTGTCTTTGCAGATGTCTCTATAAAAAACATCCCATTCTTCTCTGCATAGTCAATGCCATCCTTCAAGGAAACAACAAAGCATACTATATGAGAAAAACAAGTGATTTTTTATTTTATTTTTTGTTTATAAGACAGCAATATTATTGAGGAGTTTTGACTACCTGAACAGCCACTTCCCGCTTCTCATGAAGATCAGCTTTATTACCAACCAATGCCATTACTATATCAGGGCTTCCATGTTTTTGCAGCTCCTAAAAAATTACTAATATTTCAGCTGCTAAAACAAAATTGACTGAAAATGTAGAAACTTAAAGCTATTCCTATCTAATGATTGTGCTTAACATATAAGATTACATATAACAGCATATGAGCAATGGCAGTACATTAAAAAAAATGGATGCCAATTATGAGTTTGTCAAATAGAATTATTTGCTATTCTTTTTAGCCTTTGGATAGCCTTTCCAACAACTTATCCCATAATGATATTGATTAGATTTCTTCTAACTCCAACAGAAGCCAATGAATGCAATCTCATGTGCAAAAGGAAGAATGAGGGCAAGCAGTCCTTTTCAATCTCCTTAGAGGCAGAGAATTGATTATGTAACATAGAAATGCATGGAACAGACAAATATTGGTGCTACTTCACCAAGACTAATAAAGGGGATTTAGTGAACTTCTAGTGTCTTTCTGCAAATAACAACAACCGAACCCTTTTTCCACTAGGTGGGGTTGGCTACATGGATCAACTGATATCATTGCATTTCAAAATCAAGGTCTTTGGAGAGGCCATTAGTTCTAAATCCTTCTTAATGGTTTTACTAAGATGTTTTCTCGGTCTTCCGCTGTAACTATTATAACTTTTAAAGCCCATAGCTTTCTACTCCTTTAAATTTTCAAATGATTTGTTTATAAATAAAACTCTAAAATGGCATAAGCAAGGGCAACGCTGATTAGGTACTCCAGCTTCAGTGTACTCATTCCTTCTCTTACATCTCCTCTACTTCAATATAAAACCTTGTCGTATGTGAAAGTTTTCAGTGCATGCACATCCTAGCTCACATAATCATCATCCTATCCCAGATCACAGACAGAGCAGCCATATTAATTTCCTTGTTACCCGTCATGAGGTAGGAATATTGCCATTGAGCCACAACACACATCCATCTGGAGACTTACTAACAAATTATGATGATTATAAATGAAGGAAGTAGATTATAATAGGATTGCATTGTATTCATTATTGTACAGTTCCAGACTATAATATAGGCAATTGTTTGTTATTCATATTCATTCAAATAAGCACACAAATCAAGAAATGACAATATAGAACCACAAAATAACTGCAAACCTACCTTAACCCAGTACTGTGCCTTGCCGAAAGATTCTGGGCTTGTTATATCATAGACAATAACTGCAACAGCTGCACCACGATAGTATAGTGGTGCCAATGCAGTGTACCTGAAATAGATAATTAGCAATCAAATTTTACTTCAGAATGCATTTGTTGTTGAAATGAGAAAAAAGGGGAATCTCATGAGGAACGCAATATATAGTTGAGCTCTCCTAATGGTTTGTAGAATAAACTTTGCATAAACTGGATAGATTAATGAAAGTTACCTCTCTTGACCAGCAGTATCCCATATTTCAAACTTGACAGTCGTAGAGTCTTGCAGAGCTATTGTTTGCGACAAAAAAGACGCTCCAACAGTTACCTTGCATTACAAAGTCTAAAAAATGTAAGAACATTACCATGGAATAATTAACATATCTAGAAGACAACTAATTTCCTTCATAGTCCATGTTAGGAAAATTTACATTACAAAAAAAAAAGAGTAATAATAAAAGTAACATTCTTACCTTGGATGTTGGATCAAACTGACCACGAACAAATCGCAGAACAATACAGCTTTTACCAACACCAGAATCACCTAAGAGAACAAGCTGTGTTCAGTGACATTTAAAGGTTAGTTATTGGGTCCTATAAAGGTTAAACAATAAAATATTGGTGGTATAACAGAATTAATTATAATTACTTTCAACTGAACCCCTATTGCTAAATTACAGTTCATATTAGGATTCTAGCAGGGGAATGATTACAAATTCGAAACTATATAACTAAGGTAGGGAGGATACATGACTGTTATTTGCACATGATCCAGTACTTACAGGTACCTGGTTAGTTTAACGCAAAACTAAAGAGAAGAATGTTACAAAAAATTTAAGATTTTCATCTATGACCATATTTCCCATTACTTCTTTCTTTGGAAGTGGATCAAATTGCTGTTAGTAAATAAAGATATAAAGCTACACAAAATATTAGATTTTCATCCATTGCTATATTTTCCATTCATTCTTCCTTAGATTAAAGACCATAATTTTATCATCAACTGCAATCCATTCTTTCAGCAAATCAAATTTCTGCCTAGTAAGCCACTTAAACGTTCTTCAATAATTAAAGTATAAAAGCTTGTGATAACTAACAAAGAATACATAACAACCAAAATGAGACTTATATGACAAAATCAAGATAAACTTCTGGTTCTCAAGTTTCAGTCGTTTAGATAATTAACAACATTATTATATTCTCTTTCAGCATTCTATGGCTATCTTCATTTAAAAGAGGGGGGAGCGGGTATAATGATTTATCCGGGATATCAAAATATTAGAAGTAAAAAGTAACATTTCTTCTTCAGTAGGTGAATATTTCTAATAACATTAGTAATGTCTGGATCCAAAGTGAATGCAGATTCAACATAATGTCTGCCTCCACGTGGCAGATATTTATGGATGAAAGTAATCAGTATTGATATGTAAGGGGATGCATGCAGGTAAATGAATGAAATGAAATCATGTTAAAAAATAAGGTTTTTTTTAAAAAATGATTTTCAAAATTAAGGAATGTAACAAAACATCAGAAATCCAAGAACTCGGAGCATAGCATACCTTAACACGTAGATTCTTGGCGTCCTGCCCTCCACCGTTCTCTGGATTGGCTCGACCTAACTGCCTTAAATCCCTATCTGAAAACACAAAATCAATTTCACCCAAAACCCCATCAGAGCTAATACTCAATAATTGCTTTTAATAACTGAACCCCATTAAAATACAACCCCAAAATCACAAATCAAAACCAAAATTAGTTTAAAAAAAAGAAAACTTTTTTTTTCAACCCCTTTTCAGCTCCATAGCTGAAATTAACAACAAAACATGAGAATTTCAACAAAAGTCTACCCTTAAATGCATGGAGAGAAATAAAACAATAACAACAGAAGTAGAATTTGATAACCTGGAAGGGAAGACCCGCAACCCATAGTGGGAGAAGAAGTTTTTCAACTAGGCACGAATGGTGCTCGTTGATAAATAATAAAGGGTGATGCTGCAAACCACTTTTTTCAAAAGTTGAATTTTTTTATTTTATTTTTATTGTTTTGTTTGTTCCCACAAAAATTGGTGCTGTGAGAACCAAGGAAAATCTGGGAAAGTTGAGGGTTCGTGAATGGAAGCTTGAATGAATGAAAATTTGTCTCTTTCACACAAATATTGGTCCGATGTCGTGCTTTCCGTGAGGATAAGGATTTCCACTTCCGCTCCTCGTAAAAAGTTAAATGCCAAAATGGGGCAATTTTAAGTTATTTGATTTTCCTATTTTATGGGAATAGATAATAAAATGAGACAAAAATATATTTGCTTAAAAAACAGAATAGGAAAATTGTTTGATTAGTGTTTTTTTTAAACAGTTTTTTGTTTTTGAAAACAAAAAATAAAAAAACTTGTTTTATGCGGTGTTTTAAAATCCCAACCTGCCCCGGGGTCAACCTTGACCCCTCCCCTCTCTGAGAGTTGGGTCACAAGTTAGACCCTATATGCATATTGACTCCTCTGACTCTCAAAACCCGGCTGAGTTTCAGTGTCTCCCGGATCAAAGAGGGTCACTGCATATTTTTTTTTAATTTTTTTTCATGAAACGACAATATTTTATTAAAAAAATAAAATAAAAATGCTTGCAAACTTAAATCTAATCGTTCTCTTCTCTCCTAGTGACCTAGTCGTCTTTGATCTTCACCTTGCTGCCGTGAATCTTCTAGAAAATGGAAGAATTTTACCCATTCAAATGAAATCCTTATGGTTGTCGATAGAAAACAAAAACACATTCTTACTTCCTTTAAATTTTTCTCTGTCAGAGACCTTATCAAAAGAGGCAAAACTGGGTCAGCTTAGTGACCCCATTAGAATATGAGTTTTGTACTTTGGCATCTTGGTACTTTAATTAGGTTGTGTAATATTGACTTGTGGTTGTAATTGATGAATTATGTTAAGTATATTTTGAATCTTTGATGATTTGTGATTTTTTTTAATATTTTCATATATATATATTGGCTTTTTGACCCTTTTGCCCCTCATTAATTAATTAATAACCAATTTGCCCCTGATCAAGAACTATCCACCAACCTGCCCCCTTTTAGTCGACTACCTTGCTTTTTTAGTCGAGCAAATGGTCAATCTTCAGAAAGTGGACTACCGCAAATTTAGTCGACTAAAAAATCATCTTAATCGACTACATTTTTGGGATATTTAGTCGACTAAGTAACGATATTTAGTCGACTAAATGTCGACTGAAACCCTATATTTTCCATGTTTTCGGTCTCATTTCGATTGTTGTTGTTGTGTAAACCTAAATAGCTCCCTTTGTTCATGTGTAATCCTCTCAATCCGATTGTATTTCATCCCACCATCTCTACAGACCTAATATTGTGAAATCATTGTCATTGCCCAATTCCAAACCCCAAAATCCGAACCCAAACCCCCAATTTCAGAACCCAAGTCCCAATTTCGTGAGGAAGACGAGCACAAGTCCAAACATGTATGTGACAATGATCTACTATGATGGAAAACATTATGAAGGCCCCAATGGTGTTCAATTTGAAGGAAAAACGAAAATGTTAAAAATCAAACGGGGCACTACATACAATGAGTTAAAGGAGAGAATTCAGCAAAAATTGGGTCTGCAAGGCAGCCAATGCGTTCAACGAATGATTGCCAGGGTAGAGACAACAGTTGGTAAGGATGCTATTTACTACATTGGTAACGATATATGTGATGATGAAGATGTCGAATGTGTCATAGATGCAATTGTTGACCGAAAATTTCAAAATTTTATTGAGATATATGTTGAATTAGATTGTGGTCAATCTTCATCTGCACCCATACATACAAGAAGTGAACCGTATTTTGGTCATGAAGAAAGAGTAGTCGATTTATTTGCACCTGCACATGTCATAAGTCAGATAACACTGCGGGAAATAGATGAGGATGAACAGGATGCCGATATGGACAGCGATGAGGACGGTGAACCTGAGAGTGTTATTCCGCTAGGTGACACGTCAGATACTGACGTAGAGGGTGATTTCGACGCTGACACAAGCTCACCATCCCCGGGTTCGCAGGTTACGAGACCACTTCGTGTTGACCCTGTTAGCAGTGGTAAGATTTGTTTTTTAAAGATTTAATTTAGCAATTATTTTTTTTGTTATGAATGGCATTGACGGTGGCATTATAATGCATCCGTAGGTTCTGAGGTCGAGCCATTTTGGAATGAAAGCTCACATTATACCTTCATTAATTGGGCCCACCCTAATGATGAGACAGAGATATTGTATGGTGACGATGATGATCACGGTGGCTGGCAATTAGGGGATCCTTTATATTTGTATCAGGAGTTTCGTAGCAAATCTGAAATGCAACATGCAGTCAAATTATATTGTATGAAGGCTCACCGTACTGCCGTTGTGGCAAAAAGTGATGACCATAGATTTGTGATGAAGTGTCGACACCATAATGATGGATGTCCCTGGTATGTGAGGGCATTGTTGCCGAAGAATGGAAATACTTGGGTGGTTAGTAAATGGGTTAAAGAACACACCTGCCTAAACCAAGGTCTTACCCGGGATCATAGACAGTTGGATTCTGATGTGATATGTGCAACCATTATCAGTATGTATTATTCGATATATCTAACTTCCTAAGGTATGTTTACGTTAATCAGTTTGTATTCTGACTGTTGGCCGGTGTTTTTTTTTATATAGGTATGTTAAAAGAAGATCCATCATTGAAGCCAGTTCTTATTCAAGAGAGGGTACAACGTTTGTATGGATACAACATATCTTACAGGAAAGCTTGGAAGGCTAAAATGAAAGCCATTGTCAAGTTATTTGGCGACTGGGATAAATCGTATGCATTCTTGCCTGGTTGGCTGACATACATGACGCAGGTTAATGTGGGTTCTGTGTTCAAGATTGATACGGACCAATGTGTTGATGAACGTCGAGTGTATACGGATAAGGCTGTCTTTCACCGAGTATTTTGGACCTTTCACCAGTGCATTGAGGCCTTCAAATATTGTAAACCCATAATCCAAATTGATGGCACGCATTTGTACGGTAAATACAAAGGAACTCTTTTGATTGCAACTTCACAAGATGGAGATGGTTACATTCTCCCTATTGCATTTGCTATTGTTCCTCCGGGTGAGAGATTGGATGATTGGTCGTGGTTTCTTAGCCTCATGCGTTTTCACGTCACGCATAAGCATGGCATTTGTCTAATATCCGATCGTCATCCCAGCATCATCAGGGCTGTAAGAGATCATGCCGGTTGGCAGCCACCATTTGCGTATCATGTGTTTTGTCTACGCCACATCGGAAGCAACTTTAACACTAAGTTCAGAGATGTGGAATTAAAGAAAACCCTGATGAAGCTAGGTACAATCTTCTTTTTAATATGTACAAATTGTATATAATTCATCCTTTTGTATCTAACGCATCATTTTGTATTTCAGGGTACTTGAGTTCAAAGATTCATTTTGATATCAGATTCCAGGAATTTATCGACAGTAACCCTCAAGTAGCTTCATGGATAGATCAGATTCCCAAAGAAAAATGGTGCAGGTCTTACGATGAGCAGGGTCGGAGGTTTGGTCACATGACGACTAACTTATCTGAGTGTGTGAATAAGGTCCTGAGGGGTGCACGTAATTTGCCTATAACAGCATTGGTGAAGATGACTCAAAGTAGACTTGTTGAGTATTTCGTCAAGAGACGTGAAAAGATCCAAAAGGCAAAGGCAAAGGGTTGGAGAATTGCAAAAAAAGTTGAGGATATCATCCAAAAAAATGATCAATTAACAGTGAGCCTCCGTGTGCGGGTTTTTGATAGGGACCTGCAGCTATTTGAAGTTGAGGATGCCTACAATCAATCAACTCATGATGCAGGTGACATAATGAGGGTGGACTTGCTCAATCGCAAATGTCAATGTGGACGGTTCACATCTAGAAGATTTCCTTGCAGTCACGTCTTAGCGGTGTGCAAGGTAGAAAAGTTGAACCACTATGATTATGTTGATCCTGTGTTCTCAATTGCACAAATTGATAAGGTATATGCTGCACATTGGTATCCATGGCAATGAGTTGTTGATTCCACAAATTGATGGCCCAACCGTTATCCCAAATGCATCTTTGGTACGTGCACAAGGAAGACCCAAATCGTCAAGGATACAGAATGAGATGGATTGGGTTGAGTCTCAACCGACAATCAGTCAGAGTAGATGTAGCCTGTGTAAGCAAATTGGTCACAACAAACGTACATGTCCTATGAGGATTCCCAATACAAGATGAATTGCGGAGGAAGCAGGGGAGGGGCTTAATGTTTTGATGGTTTAACATTATAGGCATTTATGGTTTTATATGCTTGTATTTGATGTCATGATGTTTGTATTTGAATGTAATGACGGTGCTATGTTTGTATTTGATCTCATGATGTTTGTATTTGAATGTAATGACGGTGCTATGTTTGTATTTGATGTCATGATGTTTGTATTTGAATGTAATGACGGTGCTATGTTTGTATTTGATGTCATGATATTTGTATTTGACTCATCTTAGTTTTTTGACTCGGAAATTATGCTCCCTAAGTCACACTCCCTTAGTGGATCAGTGTAGAGTGGAAACCTAGGGAAAAAACATGTGTAATTCGGATTTGGGGTCATAAACCAACAATTTAGTCGATTAACCTGTACTGGTTTAGTCGACTAGGTTAGTCGACTAAACCAGTACAGGTTAATCGACTAAATTGTAGTCGACTAAACCAGTACAGGTTAATCGACTAAATTGTTGGTTTATGACCCCAAATCCGAATTACACATGTTTTTTGCCCTAGGTTTCCACTCTACACTGATCCACTAAGGGAGTGTGACTTAGGGAGCATAATTTCCGAGTCAAAAAACCCATGTGGACATTAAATTCCTAAAACCAAGTCGTATGTTGTCATAACGTTTGTTTACGGTTAACAATACAAGATGTAGCCTTTTTAAACACATGTACTGATTTGCTGTGATGTGTTATGGACGAATGTGACCTGTTCAATATTGTTTTGTGCCGTGATGATCAAATTGCTAAAAAGGTTCCATTCATAAGTTATACAATATTGAAATGGAATTAAATTCATTACACAACATAACATAGATCCAAAAAACATAACAATTCTGCATTCATTAAAAAAAGTTACATTACATCAACGACT